TCGGAGTCTGCCATATCTCCGATAGAATTCCTACCTCGCGAGCAAGACCTATATCGATCTCGAAATCTGCCCGAACTGCCTGATCACCACCGACTGCCGCTTATACGACTGTCGAGATGCGTCCTCCAACTGCTTCATCCTCCCAGACGGGTATGGACTCTTTGGGCCGATTTGCCAGTACATACGATCCCCACGACCAAGGCCAGCCTCAACGCACTGTATCCGATGATCAGAGAGGAACAAGATACATCAACAGACATGCGCCCTACGAAGGGCCAGTGGAACGGGCTGTGTTGGGCCTTGACCAAGGCGATGCGAGGACGCTGTTTCGAGACCGGTTTGTTCATGAACGGGAACATCCGCAGCTCACCAGCAGTCGTGGAAACCAAAGACCTCAGTACTTTCTAGGCCCAGAAGAACATATTGCCAGCCCCGATGCAGTGTGGCTTGGTCAGAATAACACCATCGCCGCAACGCACGGACCCTTTGTCTCGCAACCATACCCCTCTCGTTGGGAAGACGCGTCCTGGCTATACAACAACAACGGCCGTATGTCTGGTTTACAGCTTCCACATGGTGTTGCTCCTCTTGCAGGGCTCCCACAAGCGTTTCATCCACGGCTCGAAGACAAAATTCCCGCTAGTCACCGCGATAAAGACAGCCGCCGTTGGAAAGAGCATGTCCCGCGAAGTGGGGAGAGTGGGGAGTGCGAAGAGACGCCCGTGGTGCACAGTCCCGTCTGGTCCGAAAAGGGAAAGACGAAGAACAAGAGTAAAACGTTGGAAATTGAAGAGCAGGACGAACTTTCCGCTGCAGTTGTCGGAGCTGAGCAACGTGCTTCGGTCCACAAGACGAAGATGAAGATGAGCGCAAAGGCGAAGAAGGACAAACAACAAGCACCGCCAGTAAACTCATTCGGCTTGTACTTCACGGAAGTCACAGAAGCCCGCCAAGGAGCTCGGGGGCTGGACTGGCCACCTCGTGAAGATGACACCCTGCCAAACACCAAAGAAGAACGGGTCGCAGTTGTTCGTGAGCTCTTTGCAGCCATTCAAGACACCAGCGATATCCAGGACAAGAAGTCGAGCCCCATGCTCAAGAAACGCTGGTTGGCAGAGAGTGCGGAAGAATTGAACGAAGACGGGGTTGGAGACCCCGGGAAGACAAAACGCAAGCAGAGTATCGCTAAGGACACGGTGTACAAGCCCTGGATGAAAGAGCGTCTCTGCTGGGAGATATTGGTCGGTATCGCTGCAGGATACGCAATGACAGGCGCTAACGTGAACAAGGAAACGACTGAACGCATCTACCGGGAAGGCACAGCATTCGTCTCGATCCTAGATCCGGTAATGATCGAGCGCTGCGAGAAATACCGGGAGCTCACATTTAAAGAGCGCATTTCCAGTGTAGTGGGGGTGTTGAAGTCGTATAAGAGCCGTGTTGATAAGTTGCTGCGTGGAGGATGTGTCGAAGAATACGTGTTGTGCCCGGATGCTGTTCTTCAAATCAGCTCGAGCAACCGCGAACAGAACGATGAGCGTCAGAAGGACCTTGCCCATGGTCGAAAGCGCGAAGACCGGCCTGTCAAGAAGCCCGGGAAGAAAAAGCAGATTCGTAGGTCTATCATCAGGCACCATGGGACTTTACTGACCATCGTAGTGGCGCCTACACCGGCAACTAGTCGCAAGCGTAATCGCTACAATCCCGAGGACGCGTCCGATGTAGAAGAGCCGCAGAAAAGCCGCACCCGTAGGACCTAGACGCAGTGACCTTGGAAGCGCGGTGCTGATCCGGTTGGAGTTTTCGCATTCCCTCAGGTGAGGGAGGCGTATGGTGTGCTCACTGCGGGAATATCTGATTTGCTTCTCTTCTGGTATGTGTGGTTGTTCAGTTTCCGCTCGTCGCAGCCAGGTTTGGTGCACGGCGTTCTCCCCTGGAGCAGGTGGTAAAGAGGGCTTGATACTTTTGGTAAATGGATCCTATTTCTCTACAGACTTAGGCGCTTTGGCTAGGTTCTATGCCTAGTATCAGTGACGCAATCCTACATCTGAGGCTGACGGCCGATGTGTCTGGCTGTACATGACGATATTGTGCCGCGCCCGCTCGTTACGGATCATGGGCATCAACCGCAATTGTGAATCTGCTTTCTGCGAGTTCGTTGGAAGTAAGAATATCGTGGAGATGTAGTGCGCGTAGTGAGTAGCGACTGGGTAGTTGAGGTGCGTCGGCGTGAAGTTTGACGCGAGCTTGGGAGCGCGTGACGTCATTAAGTGGGGCCTCAAGCGGAACGCGTGATGCCTCATCACACCAGCGACGCCTCTCACAACTTCCTCGCTCTCTCGCTGCGCGTATGCCATGCTAGCAGCAGTCGCGGGTATGATTCCGCTATTGTACGACGTCTGCCAATCGACACTGAGAAGATGAAGGTCCGCAACCAGGACAGACTCATACATACATTGCCGGCCGCATCACCACCTATGACATGACGCGTCTGCTTCTGTGCGAGCGACGAATGTTTCTTGCAGACTTCGAAGAAGACGCCGATGCCACCGAACTTACTTCATCTGCAGGTAGGCGCGACCTTCATGTAACAGAGGGAAAGGGCAAGTAGCTTTGCGTCACACATTGTACCTGCTACTCCTACAGATGACTGCCACAACGTCGTCGAAACGATCGCACAGCCATGTCGCTACACTCCCACACAGATCCTATCCTATCTCACCTAAGCTTCCTCGACACTCGTCTAATCACACATCGCCCCGATTTCTATCTCTCCTATCCATACGAGTGAAGAGCCATGCCGAGATCGTCTGGCGATGGATACTTCGTATGTTACCTGCAGAGGATCAAGCAGTATATGGACGCGCAACTTGCTAAGGAGGGTAGATGGGGCCGCGCGACCTCAGCCATCACTCGAAGTTTCCGATGATGCTGCGACTTCACGGCAGCATCACACCTAAGCTTATTATACCCGTTTTGCTGGTAGGCGGGTGGGCCACCGCCGTTACTTGCATCTCGAAGCTTGTATATGACCGTAAGCCATATTCTCTTCTTCCTGTACTACAAAGCCCTATTCTAACATGACGCAGTTGGAACCGACCAAGTCTTTATCACCGTACTAGGCTTTGTCGTCAGTCTGGCCCTCAGCGTCCGCAGTTCTACCTCGATGGACCGCTACTTCCAAGGTCGACAGCTTTGGGGGCGCCTTCGACTCGCATCGCATATCTTGGCTCGTCTGATATGGATACACGCTGAAGAGAGGCATGGTGCTGATGCAGGGGTGGGGAAGCAAGATCTGCTCGGCAAGGTCAGCTGCCTGAACCTGATTGTGGCTTTCGCTGTCGCAGTAAAACATAAATTGCGATTCGAGCCAGGAACGCATTACGAGGATCTGAAGCACCTGGTCGGTCATTTGGATACCTTTGCGCAAGCAGCGGATATGCCTGCGCCCGACCCTCCGAGCGCTTTCAGGCGGACTTGTCAGTTACTCGGCATGCCCATGGCGACGCCCAACCCACGAAAACACGTCAAGCAATCGCGCGTGCCTCTCGGGGACCTGCCCCTTGAGATTTTATCTCACCTCTCTGCGTACATGAAAGTTCTATACGACAACGGCACGTTGAGAGACTACAGTATCTATCAAACCCAGACTTTGGACTCGCTGACAATCATGGACGAAGTGTCGTGTGGCACGGAGAGAATCCTGAACACACCGCTTCCACTTGCGTACTCCATCGCCATATCCCAGGTTACATGGCTGTACATTCTATTGCTGCCCTTTCAATGTTACAACAGCTTAGGATGGATCACCATCCCTGCATGTGTGGTTGCAGCGTACATCATCCTGGGTATCGCTTTCATCGGCCGTGAGATCGAAGACCCTTTCGGCCACGATGTCAACGACCTACCTCTCGATGCCTTCTGCCAGCAAATCCGCCAAGATCTTGACATTATCATGTCGCGCGTTGCACCTCTCGTCAATGACTTTATGGGTCGTGAAGAAAACATGCCGCTGTATCCCCTTTCGTATCTGAGCACGAGAGCATGGGCAAACAAGTCGCCGGATGAGATACATGTCGCTTTATCGCAGAAGGTAGGTCTCCACCATCCAATGGTTGAGCGCGGTGAGAATCCAGCGCCGCCTACGCAAGGAAGACTAGGCGGCGTGGATAGCTGGGTCGAGAAGGGCGGAGCAGGACCGATCGGCACGACAGGTCACTACAGAAGGAAGCACGGAAGTGTTTAGTTTTCTCAGGTCCAGACACCAAGAACACTCCCTCTTATCACCCTACCTAACAGCTAGATCCCAAACAACCATTCTATTTCGTTTCCCGTCCAACTTACCCTCTCAAAGGGCCCGTCTTCCAAAGCTGACCCATCCCTCCCAAACCTCCGATATTCTTCAAGAGGGTGTCTAATTTCCACGCCTCTCTGTCTTCTCCAATACCCAAAAACCCCAAATCGGACAACAGTCTATGCGTCTTCTCGCCATACGCTTCTGCCTTCTCCTTATCGCCCTTCTCCAACCATAGCATAGCCAACATGGCATACTCATCCGTCAACATCGACCAGACTCCTTCGTCTTTGATCAGTTCGACGGATTCCTCGGCGAGAGCTATGGCTTCGTCGAGTTTGTAGGCCTTCGCAAGCTCCATAATCTTTTCCTCGGCCTGCGTGATCATTGTGCGGCGAAGATCGGAGGCTTGGCGTTCGTCGGCTGGTAGGCTGCAGAGGCTACATGTGCATTTGAACCCCCAGCGTTTTATCAGAGACTGGCGTTTCTGGAATGGGATGCCCAGGAGGAGGTCTAGGTGACGTTAGCACAAGAACAGGAAGGAAGAGGGTGGAGATTACAAGAGACGGTGATCTCTTCGCCGGCTTCAATGTCGCGATAGGCTTTTATGGCCATTGAGACGCCTGCGCGGGAAAATAGGACGAAGGAGTTTGGGTTGCATGCATGATTGATGCGCTGGTACGGTGAGCGACACTGATGTTGCTGTTTAGACTGCGTCGCGACCTACCGAGATCAGCGGATACAACGCCCTCGAGCTAACCTCCGCAACCGTACTGCCATACGCGTTCGTCTTCATGATGGCTTCCTCTAAGCTTCCTTCATTTTCGTCATCTCCATTTCCACCTTCATGGCTCTTCCCCGCATGCGCAGAACTCATGTCTCTGATCATCGCCGGTACGAGCAATTGATCCACAGCCCTCTTCATCAACTTCTTATTCTCAGCCTCACTCAACGCCTTCTCCGCCCCCATATCCACAACAACAGCGGCCTGATCCACCATGAACGTTTCGTACATCTTGATCTTCCGCGTAGCCACGACGCCTTTCGCCTTCCCGGGTATGTCGACGATTTTCCATGGTTGACCGCCGAGATACAAGCGCTCAGCATCTTTCTGAGTCAGAAAGTTATTGAGCGGGTTGTCGTCGAGATATTCCGACGCTAGATGGGCGGATCTTGGGGGAAAGATCAGGGAGAGACCGTGTGGGCCCGTCGTGTTGGATGTGTAGACGCAGTACTTTTGGCCGAGGGTGGGGAGGTAGCTGCTGGTTATGCAGTGCGGTTTATGAGACCATGGTGCGTACGGATGATCTTCATCTGGAGCAACTAGATGCTGTTGAAGATCTGGTTGCAGTAGATCGTCGATGTCCAGGACGCCTACCGTCGCTAACGCATGCTGGAGTGCAAGTTGCAGGACAGCAATCGTTGAGGCTAAGGAGCGCATAACTACAATGACAGGTTGCTAGACCGAAGTATGAAAGTTCTCATATAACTTCGAGGTACGACAGCACTATTTTTGATGTTCCGCGATTTCCCATAGTGTTTATTGTGTCACAAGCCCAGAAGCGACGGCATACGTCACAGAAGTTTACCCGGAATCTACCTCATACGTCTCTACCGATCCCAAGAACTTGGGACTTTGTACGATAAATTGTTGCAGTATGTTCGCCAATGATAAATATAGCTGCCTCGGGATTTGCAGGTAATGCAGAACTAAGAGGCTAGTTGCCTAGCGGCTCAAATAGTGAGCATCGAGATCGCTTCTTCCATTTTCCCAACACCCTTGGCAGCGCAACGTGGTGTTATTGAATATGATACTACCCCACATGCGACGGCAAAGGACAGCCTATCGTGAATAACTTTTGAATGCACCATGCTTTTGTCAAGACTAGGTATTCGGGGGTGATGTCAGGGCTCCTGGTAGACGTACGCCCAAGTATTCGCATCCAACTTCCATCATTGATCATAAGAATTCAGATCAAGGAGCTGTAGACGAGAGAACATATCTCTATATATGTAACATGAACGTGATAGCGTTAATTTGGACTCAAGAGAGGTATTGCTGTAGTTATCTGACCCTTTCGTCAATGTTGCGACAAGATGGTCATACATTCGTTCCATTGAAACAAGTACAGTTTCTTGCTGATTCCAGAAGCTTCTGCTGCGTGATGTTCAGTTGCGAAACAACAGAGTGAAGCCAAATAAAGGCGCATGCTGATAAAGCTATCAGACCGTGTTCCAGAACAGCCCAACCACCAAAGAATTTGAGCAAGATTGCGAAACCCACTGCAACGAGTGCAGTTACGATCTTTTTTTTTGCATCTAAATAATGCGAGTCTGTAGTGTTTTGTAAGTAACTCACGAATCCAACCAGCAAGAGCGTCCCAAAAGGTATCCAGAAAACAGAGCTGAATATCTTCAAGTAGAAGAATACTGGTTCGAGAGCCCTCCGCAGATGCTCTGGAAAAAGTATTGCAAGGACTGGACTGAATTTGGTGTTCTGTTGCGCTTGTCAATATCGTATTGTCAATGTTGTATATACACAGTGCCCAAATTGGACTAGCTGTTGACATACCATCCACCTGGCAATATATTGCCAACGTTCCATAAGTTCCGGCAATGGATATGGACGACGGGACCGATAGCTTTCAAGACGCAATCGAGCGAAAGCTTTCTCTCTGCCCTCGCCGTATATAAGCGGCATTTGCACTCCGAGAACTCCCAGGAGGGAGTAAGCAGCATCTTCCTCACGTTTCGTTTTTCGATGCTCGGTCCATCGCATTATTTCTTCAACGCTATACCTCCCGGCTGCTCTCCTTGTCTCGATGAGTTCACGTGGAATTTGAGTCTGGCGAGCAATTCCATTTGTGAAGGTTTGCCTATGCCCTATCCTATTGCCATCTGCAGAAAAGAAGACTAAATCACGCGGAGCAAGAAGCTCTTGGAACGTCCAACCGCGTGTGAACCAGCGGCTTGCTAGGAACGGATCCACAGGAACTTCCTGCCTCGTAATATCCAGGGTAGAGCTGAATATATCGGATAGGTAGACATAACACACTTTGGAGCGTTCGTACCACTTGTACATCGAGTTGATAGCCTCGGAGAGTTCGGCGCTGCTTCTTTTGTCGATGCAACACGTATCAACCTAATAGGCAAGTTAGCTCAGCGTCGTAGCACGAAAGTCTGTCGCGATTTACCCAAAAGTACTCAAGCCCATCTTCTTTAGCTTGTTTTGCGCAAAAGCGAAGTTTTTTGTAGCCAGCCTTGAACTTCCCTTTTCCTTGGCCTTTGTATATGTCCTTGAAGGTCACCTCCTCGTGGTCTGAACCCCATGTATGTGACAAGATTGCGTAGGGCGGGATATCATCGATGTGCTCGACCAGAATGAAGTCGTCGTCACCTCGAGCATGGAGGAGACGCATGGCACAGTTTACGCGCAGCGAAGCGATCAATACCGATTGGAAGCAGTTGTCGCACGAAACATTCCGAGCAAGAAGGCGAGGAGATCAATGGAAGCTGTAGAACATGAGATGCGGCGCGCTGATAAAACAAGCCCTGAACTGGGGCAGTGCAATACAGCTGAGAACAAAGTGAGGCTTGATGTGGCGTCGCTGCGCCTCTGACGCTGCTGACAGCTGTATGCCCTTGTATGAGCCAATCATGAAATACCTACCACCGGCGAGACCGATTCGTTAGACATTCAAGGATGAATAAGAGGCAGAAACTGTGGCAAAGGGCGGTTCACGTGTCTATTTGCTCACTATCAGACACGTGTGCTGTAGAAACCGGACCACGATGGGTTAACAGCTAAGGTCTCACCAACGCACTTTGACAGCCTTGCTCCACCGAATCGTCGTTCAACCTATGCATCATCAACATCAGCTCCACGCCTCAAAGCTTCGAGCTCATACCGGTATACGCAATGCACTCAATCTCGACCGGCACACCCTTGGGCAGCTGCTTAACGGCAACACAGCTGCGCGCAGGCTTATGGGAGAAGTACTGCTCGTACATGCCGTTCATCTCGGCGAAGTTGGCCATGTCGTCGAGGAAGACGTTGACCTGGAGTCGTAGTCAGCACCTCATCGGCTGTTTGTCCATGTGTGTTCTTGAACGCACCTTGACGATCCTGTCCATAGCAACACCAGCCTCGGTGAGGATACCCTTGATGTTCTCGCAGCACATCTTGGTCTTGTCCGCGATGCTACCCTCGATCAAGTTGCCCTTGGTATCGGCGGGGATCTGGCCCGAGACGAAGACATTGGGGCCTGCGACGATGGCTTGTGTCTAGACGGTGACGTTAACGTGGATGTTCGGATGCGATGGGGACGATAGAGGAGGAACGTACGTAGGGTCCAGCAGCTGTATCTCTGTTAGCTATCTCTCCTTCTACATCTCTGCCGTCAATTGGAACGTACGAGGACACGCGTTAGCGGTGTGAATCTTCTTGATATCAGACATCTTTCGTATTCCTTTGATGTCGATTGCTTTGTAGGGTGAAGTTGTGATAGCAGGTCGCGTGAGATTCGTGGTTGTAGTAGTAAGGGATCGTGAAGCACGTAGAGCTCTTGGTACCGCCGTGCGTATCAGCAGCATGGGACCGTTTATCTACGTCAGGTAAATCGAGGCTATCGTCGGGCTAGGTGGACACCTAATTGAGCGCGTCCGCCCTATACCCGTGACATAAGATGGGGCTTGGGAGCGGCATCGGAAGCTACCCCACTTTCCTTCTTGGGCGGGCGCTGCGTGTCAGCAGCTTGCAGGGATGTTTTTGTTGATGGAGGGGTAATGAGGGCGGAAATTTTGGGGACGGCGACTTTTGCGACGGGGAAAGAGGGTATGGCGCCGCTGTCGTGTTGCGCAGGGCGCAGGGCTTAGATCGGTGTCAATGATATAGTGTGGAAATGACCATTTGAAGGTGCGTATACGAGTAAAGAGACTTTTGACGTATTTATCGTGATATCCTCGCGCGCATCTCTCATCGCGCCATGTCGTGACTATACAAACCACCAACGCCGCCCATATGCAATCCTATGCCCCATCTATAATGTGTATTGTTTACGGTATCGAGTCGAGATTCCAAGAGTGAAGATTACCAGCCGTCTCAGTATTACACCCCTACTGCTCCATCTTCTCCTCCTGGCCCGAGAGCAATGTGTGTACAGGCGCGTCGAGCTGGTCGCGGCCCTTGAGGAAATCGAGTTCGAGAATGAAAAGGTATCCCATGATAGTTCCGCCTAGCTTCTTCACCAGAGAACCAGCTGCGGCTGCGGAGCCACCTGTGTCGTGTTAGCATGTCGTCTCGTCTCTGATGCGAACGATATCACGTACCAGTCGCAATAATATCATCCACAATAAGCACGTTCTGCCCGCTCTTGACAGCGCCCTCCTGCATCTGGAAGAAATCACTGCCATACTCCTTCTTGTATTCCGCCGTCTCACACGGACCCGGCAGCTTGCCCCTCTTCCTGACGGGCACAAAACTCGCGCCCAGCCTCAGCGCAAGGCTGGGCCCGAACAGGAAGCCGCGCGCATCGAGTCCGACGACGACATCTGGCTTGGCACCTGTCGCGCCGAACTGCTTCTCAATCGACAGCTCAAGACCGCGCAGCAGTCCCTCGTGGAGCGCGGGGTCTGCGAAGATGGGCAGGATGTCTTCGAAGAGGATGCCGGGTTCGGGGAAGTCTTTGAACTGGCGGAGCGAGGCCTTCAGCGTGCTTTTAAGACGGGCGAGTTCGGCGGCGGCGGAGGGACGGGGGGTGGACTGTCCGCCTTGGGAGGGGCCATGGCTGTTGGACTCGAGAGTTGGGTCGGGCTTCTGCGGGGGAGGGTGCGCGGCGGTTGCGTCGCCCTTGAGTGGGGGGTCGGCGGACGTGGTGGTGTTGATGGGGTGGGTGCTGTGGGCGGGCGTGTCGTGGGGAGCGGACATGATGGGACGAGGGGAGGGGGCGGCGTCGAGATATAAGACGGACGGGTCAGGTCTGTATGGGAGGGCGGATGCGATAGATAGGGCTAGGGCAGAAGCCGGGTTGGGGTAAGGTGGTCAGGGCTGGCTGGCTGCACTGCAATGCTGTCAGACTCAGGCGTCGTCGTGGTCGCTGAGAGTACCCAGCGCAACAAAAAAAATTGAGTTAGCCCCTCTGGAAAACGGTCCGCAGGGCCACACAGTTCCTAGGCCCACCACCGAAACCCCCGTATGGCGAATCAAGACGCCATTTGTTCAGCCGCTCAGCGCTCAGCGCTCAGCGCTCAGCGCAGCACCTTCGCACTCGGTTGCCTATACACCACCACGCTGCTCGATGCGGCAGCTCCCTACGCCCGCACCGCACTCGCCCATCCTATCGCACGCGCGCCACGGGCAGCTGTATCGCCGTGATCCCTGACCCACAACTATCTGCGGCGCCAAACATGTGCCAGACTCGACATTTACCCTTATCGGAACCA